GAGATGATCTCAAATTTACAGAAAACTTGCAAGTATAGTACAAAGACCTTCGCCTCTCTTCCCCCAAACCACTTGAGAGTAAATTGCTGACCTAATTCTCCATTCATTACCCCTGAATACTTCAGTGTGTAATTCTTACAAACAAGGACATTTTCCTTCATAATTACTATAAAACCATCACATTCAAAAAATCAGTATTGATACATTATTACAATCGAAGGCCCATTAGAGCGAAAGAATCCAGTTTAAAGTCATGAATTGCGTTAGGTTTTACACGTCTTTAGTCCTGTTTACTCAGGGACAGATAGTTTCTCAGTAGTTCCTTGACTTTCCATGATCTTGACATGACATGCCAGTTATTTTTTAGAAAGTCCTTCCATTTTGGGGTTTATTATAAATGCCCCATTCCTCAACTAGCTTTCATTTTATTTGTATCAAAATGGAGTTATAGTTTCCTATGTTTTAATCAATTTCTATCATTTCCTTTCGTGCTCAAATTGTCCTCATAGTGACCTGTGTGAATCTCTTCAGCTGGTTCTTAGGTCCTTTTTCCATGTCCCCGCAGTCGCTGATCACATTCTTGCTTTCTGCCACAAGATATTCCAGGCTGATCTCACGCTTTCCTTTTCCTCACCCCGATCATTTCTCAAAAAGCTCTTATTCCTTTAAGTGGGAAAGGGTACTTAGAAGCCAAGATGTAGATGTTGACTGTGCTCATTGCTAGTAAGGTGTTGCTCTTCCTATGTCTTCTTAGCGGATAGAGCTGTGTGAGCTGAAAGCTATGAGTTCATGTCAATATGTGCTACCCTAGTCCAACATCACAATATTCATTCGGTTTTCTTTTTCTCTATAGTTTTAACTTGCTTCTCAGACAGTGAACAGTCTGACTCCTGTTGTCCTTATATGTTTACTTACTTGATTAATTTCCCAATCTATAACCATTGCCAACACCCCTCCATCCCCATACAGTTGCCCTCTTCCTCATAATCTGACACCCCTGCCCCAGGCTTGCCCTCTTCAGCCTTTCCTGACACTGAGTGCCAGGCCATTCCTCTACAGGGACACCCTTGGAACCTTGCCTTGGCCCTGACACCTGTGGCAGGTCTCTCCTCCAGGTACATGCCCTCCTCATTCCACTCAGGCTCTATTATCCTGTGCCAGGCTGCCCCAGGTTTGGATGCCCTCCCCACACCTTATGGGTTCTGATTCTCCAAGCCAGGCAGCCCTTTTAAATCTTTTAAATGTTTAGTCTTCAGCTTCCCACTCTGCGCTTCCTCAGCACCCCCAGCATGGATGGCTACCTTGTTCTGATGGCTTTTAGTGCCACATTGTACAGGAAGGGAGGGAAGAGAAAGGGAAAAGGTATGGGAAAGGGAAGAGAGAAAGATGAAGAGGCACATAATTATTTTCCAGTCCTCACAATAAGCCTTCCAAAAAGCAGTGTTTCCCCCTAGTTTACACTTGAGGGGACTGTAGTTCTGAGAGATGAAGCCACTTGCCCAAGGTCTCAGAGCCAGTAGTAGGTAAGGAGCCAGCATCTGAACCAGGTCCTCAGGTTCTGTCTATCCCACCACACTGGCTCTAAAGAGAATGCTCTCAAAATGTGTTTGGTCTTTGGATGGTCCCCAAATGTGTAACATGGTGTTTGAAGAAAAGGGATGCAGTTCTCTTGAGAAGCAATAGGTTGTGTTCATTGCATGAAGACAGTCTTGCCACCACTTGGCCTACTTCCCCGTCTCATCTACAATTAGGCTCAACAGGAACATGGCTTTATTTGGCTTCGTTGTCTGGGTGGAGCCATGAGGCTGGGACTCTGGTCGCCAGTGGCACTCGGCCAGAAGTCTCACTACCTACCAGTGGTGGTGTCTGCCTTCTGTGGTGGGCACTTCTGAAATGAGTCATCTTTACATGCTTGCCAACCCTAATCCTCTCCTCCCCAGCTGGCCTCACCCTTACTGCCACAAGGGAGCTTCACAACTTTCTGAAATTTTAAATGGGGAAATAAATGCTAAATCCAGAATGAGGAAGGGAAAAAGTTTGCTCTGGTTCCGCACACACAGCTACAGAATGCACTAGCCTTAATGCTCTTCATACCCAAATCCTGAGGCCTGGCATAGACATAGGATTAGAATGTATATATTGTGAAACGAACGTCTAGCACTATTCTGTAACTTGTTGTCTTAAATGCTCATTTGTCAGTGTCTTTGGGGTCCATGCAAAGAACTCCAGAAAACATTCTAACAAAACCAAGGACAAAAAGAAAGAAAGAAAGCCTCTATTTGCATAAAAGAGCAAAAGAACAATTGGCAAATCAATTTCATTTCCCCCAGACTTGAGCATACTTTGAGAAGAAAATTGGATTTGACTTTTTTAGTTATAGTGTAGGAACTGTCACAAAATCTTCAAGCTGGGAGAAATATCCTAGAATTCATGTTATGCCCATGCCTCACCTTATGAAGCAACAGAGAGGCGACTTGAGGATGATGGATGGAGGCACAGTCTGTAATTGTGTGAGTCTGCGTCTGTGTGTGTCTGTGTGTGTTGCACACATGTAAGTAAACACTCTTGGAGACAAGAGACAAAGCTAAAACAGATATTGTTCTGGTTACCAAGGCTTAACCTACGGTCTTAAACGAGGCTGCTTCCTGGCTTTCGTTTTGGTGGCCCACACAGGTTTCCCTGTGAAGAGGCTTGTGACTGAGCTCTGACATCAGTTCCCTTTGCAGTGCACAAGTCCTGAGAAAGGCAAACGGCAGGTACTACAGTGAGACGTTTGAATTTAATTCAGTTTGCTTCCATCTTAGAATGAATTAATATTAGTTAATTCCTTGGGGAAGGTTTTCCCTTAAAATTGGCTTTTCCACTGGTTTAGCATGTTGTCACTTGGGGTAGTATAAGCAGGATACAACTTGAAACTTGCCTGTATTTGTCACTCTCTGAGTTGGGTGGCTTTTGCCCCCAGAACATTAGGTCATATGACACTATTTCTTTTCACCCTTAGGGAAAGTCCCAAAAATTCATTTTCTGTTCTAGAAAAGCCCAGCCATCCAGCACCCACGTACATATTGCTGCCGAAATTTATATTGGCGAGAATAACTTTTGAGAAGCTAGCGTGTTTATGAAATCCCCTGGGAAACTCTCTTTTCAAAGGATCTGTGTTAGAAAATAGAAGATCAATATTATAGTATAAAATAGAGCTTGGTCCCAATTGTATCTACTCCTTTTTTACTACTACCTTCTACTACCTAGAGCAACGGGAACCAAAATCATTTTCTTAAAAATTACAATTAGTTACTACTTCTGAGGAATTGTTTGCACAGGATCTCCAAAAAGCTGTTTGTTAATTGATGATTATGAGCAATATGATTAACATTTTAAAGTTTCTTTATTGTGTTGGTGTTTAGGGATCTCAAACCAGAAGTTATGCTGGCTATTTCTCTTAAAATCCTTTCTAAATATTTAGCCTCATTTCCTTTTTCAGAGTACACCTTTTTCATTTCCTTGTTTGTTTGTCTTCGGTTCCCCATTTTGGCCTGTTGTTCACCCAGCCCGGTCAGTGCAGGTTGGGTCAAGGCGATGTAAGTGGCCAGGAGACACTGACAATGGGTGGCCGTTTACAGTAAACCGTGACCTGAACTAGTCACCAAGCTCATCATGGCTCTCTTTTAGGCTATTTCTTGTCTCCTTTTACTCAAAACAAATAGCTCATCTTTAGAGCATAATACAATCCAATGAGAGTCATATTCTCCATTCTCCCTGCAGATGACACTGGGACGTCTCATTTTTCTTTAATTAACTCAACTAGAATGCATGGAATACTTGTTCTGTGTATGCCACTGCGCATAACCCAACACTTCGCCCCTCCCAAAGAGTTATAAACTCTGTATTTGGGTCATTGCTAGTAGCCCTCCTACACCCCCTGCTTTATCTGCCTGCCATTTGATCTGCCACTAACCCAGTTCGTGCTCCTCTGCCAACTTGCTCGGTGGTTTTTCTAACAGTGTGGGAAATCAAACAACATGGGTGCGTGCTCGCGCTGTTGACTTGGCAGCATGTTTTCCAGGAAGTCTTTGAGTCATAAAACTGGGGAATATACACATTGGTTTCTATGGTTATTATTTGACAATTTATACCTGTTGATTTTCTTGTTATGAAATTATGGTCTGATTTCTTTCCCCAGGGATAGTCCTAGACCAGTGATGGCCAACCTATGACATGCATGTCAGAGGTGACACGCGAACTCATTTTTTTGGTTGATTTTTCTTTGTTAAATGGCATTTAAATATATAAAATAAATATCAAAAATATAAGTCTTTGTTTTACTATGGTTGCAAATATCAAAAAATTTCTATATGTGACACGGCACCAGAGTTAAGTTAGGGTTTTTCAAAATGCTGACACGCCGAGCTCAAAAGGTTCGCCATCACTGTCCTAGACATTATATTTTAAACCCTGTCCACAGATACACATTTTCAAAACACCATTTTAATGGAGATTGAGAATGCTAGCAAAGATTTTCAGTATATAAATCATTTATTTCTATTTTTTTCATAATCATGCCCTGCCTTTTTAATTCTTAAGAACATTGATATGGAGATTAAATGTTTTCCTCTATTTTTATCTTTAAATGACCTTTATTTGCTGCTTCTGCACTTTGCTAGATTTATTCCAGCTGCTTACACTAGAGTCATAGTTTAGCTTCAACTTGGAGCCAAATGCCCCACAGCTGAAATGACCGCACCTCCGAAGTGGCATTTTCCCAGGCCATCCCTGCCTTTAATAAGGAGCCAGCCAGGAGGCAAGCTTGTGTCTCATTACAAGAGAGCCTTGTGTTAGGCCTGGCGCATAATTAGACGTGAGGAATTACAATTGGTCCTCTCTTTGCAAGATCTTTCAGCACCAAGTCTATGCTTAAGCCATTACTTTTATTTTTAATCTAATGATTTTGCCTCTCTCTCTCCCTCTATCTCCTCTCGCCTCCCATAATAACAACAATAAAGACACCAAGGAAATTCGGAGATTTGCCGTTTTAAAAAGATTGGATCCCGAAAAGATTTTCACAAGACGCTTCAGAAACAGACGTTTGAGTCAGAAATCTTGGAGTGCAGTGAACCCAGAGTTCAGGTATTTCCTATCAACAAACACGGTTACCAGGTTACTGGCTGCTCTGCCCACGGCAGGCTGTGGGGTTTTAGTAACTACTAAAAAGGCAAAATTCGTAGAATGTTAGAATAGGAGGAACTCTACCATCTGAGTCAGTGATTTTTTTCCAGACTTGTTTGTAGCCACAGACATCAGTGTGCAAATGAAAACCCAGATGCTCAGTAATTAAAATAGATAAAAGTGGGGGGGGGCTCTACTTGCTGGGGGAGGCCACTGGGCCCTATCCCTATAACATTCCTGTGGAGACTAGAGGTGCCCCTAAGGCAGGCTGCAGACTGATTAAAACAGCGGTTCTCAACCTGTGGGTCGCGACCCTTTCACAGGGGTCGCCTAAGACCGTCCTGCATATCAGATAATTACATTATGATTCATAACAGTAGCAACATTACAGTTATGAAGTAGCAACGAAAATAATTTTATGGTTGGGTCACAACATGAGGAACTGTATTTAAAGGGCCAGAAGGTTGAGAACCACTGGATTAAAAGCTCCACACTGAAGCACACTGCCTGGGTCCTCTGTGATTCTACCACATCTAACTCTGCAACCTCGGATAGGATAACTAAACTCTGGGCTTCCGTTTCCTTCCCTGGAAAACAAGAGTGGTAATAGTAACTAACTCATGAAGTTGTTTGAGTATTAAGTGAGTTAATATGTGTAAAGCATTTAGAACCATGTCTCTTCTGACACTTAGTCCCAATAAATATTGGCTACTGTTATTATTGTTGTTACTATTATTATTATTACAGAGTAGTTACAGCTTAAAAGTCAGCTCTGTACATCAATGTTTATATAACAGCAGTATTCACACTAGCCCAGAGGTGGAAACAGCCATGTATCCATGGTCAGATAAATGGATGAACAAATGTGGCATACACATACAATGAATTATTCAATCTTAAAAAGGAGGGAAATTCTGACAAACACCACAACATGTATAAACCTCGAAGCCATTATAAGTGAAGTAAGCCAGTCACAAAATTACCGACACTATACTTTCACTTATTCGAGGTACCTGGAGTAGTCAAATCCATAGAGACAAAAGTAGAATGGTGGTTGCCAGGGGCTGGGAGAGGGGGTAATGGGCAGTTACTGTTTCATGGGTAAAGTGCTTCAGTTTTGCAAGATGAAAAGAGTTCTGGAGATTGGTTGCACAACAGTGTGACTGTACTTAGCACTACTGACTGAACACTAAATTTTGTCATGTATATTTTACCACAATTAAAAATAAATTTTGAACCAGTGCTCTAGTCCAACATGCTCATTTTCTAATTAAGAAAAATAAAACATATAGGAAGGGATTTGTCCAAGTTTGCATAGGACTTCTTCTTAAGCCAGTATAATTTTTAGCTTTCAGGTGCTGTCCTAGCCCAAGCATCTCACCCTGCTGAATAGTACTGGAGGGTTTTTAAATAGCACCCATTCTTCTAACAACAGTCTCTCCAGTCCTGCCCGCTCCCTACTCTGAGCTCTACAGAGGAATCAGCCATCAATTCTAGTGCTGAATGTGGTGGGCTTCCTGAGGCCTAGAACATCTGTGTGCTGTACTCTGTGGGAGATTGAAGGGACTTTTTCAGTGGTAATTTTGACTAAATTCAGTTTTTACCGTACACGATGACAAAGTGAATCGTTCCTTGTATCAGTCAGACGGCAGCCACACTAGGTATTTCCACAGAAGAAATTTAACGTAGGGAATTGGTTAAACAGGTTTTGGACGACTGAGAGGACCAAAAGGGAACATTGAAGTTATGTGGGAGTCATTACTGCAAACCACAGCACACCGCCCTGGGACTGGGGTCTCAGGCAGTGCCTCCCAAACTTTAGCTTCCTCAGAATGGCCTGAAGGGCCTGTTCAAATACAGATTGTTGGGCCCCATTCCAGAGTTTCTGACTCACTAAGTCTGGAGCGGGGCTTGAGAATTTTCATTCCTAATTAGCATTTCCCAGGAGATGCTGATGCTGCTGGTCTCAGGAACCATGGATCGAATGGGAAGAGCCTGGAGATCAGAACCTAGGAGCTCAGAAGAGGGGCTGCAGAGCTAGGATTCAAATCTCTGAGGAGGGGGTGTGGTCTAGCCAGTGCTGGTACCTCAGGATCTCAGAAGAAAGACCTTATAGAGGCCAGAAGTCTGGATTCAGATTTCCTAGGAGGTGGAATTGCTCAGCTGGTTCTGGTACCTCCAAGGAGGTAAGATGAGGATGGTTCTGGAAGCGCCAAAAGAAGCCAAGGCTAGAACTACTGCCACCACCATGGCAAGAACTGTAAGCAAAGCGGAAGGGGCCAGTCTCTTCTCCCAGCCCTTTGTAGCGCCCCTTGTAGCGCCCCCTATTGGCATAACTTAAAAGGAGCAGCAGGTAAAGCAGAAATGTGATTTACCGAATGCAGACCTAGCATCACAGGTTGTATAAAAGGGTGAATTTGGAGCTGAGAGACAGCAGGTGAATGACCAGCACCCCCATAAAGCACACTCATTCCTCCAGCAGGCTAACAGAACGTTCAGTGAAGTCATTGGCTGGGTTTCAGGGGCAAGTTATTAACAAACTATATTTTTAAGTATTAGACTAATACTCATTATGGAGTGATACTCACACCATGAAATGACCAGCAACATCTTCCCTTTCATTCTCATCCTTATTTACCTTATTAAGTAGAACGGTGAGGCCAGATGCCTGAATTTATGTAAGTTAAATACCTATATGATATGACTTCATGGTACTCAGATATTTCATAAAATTGGGTCATATTATTCATAATATTATATAACTTTCTATTTCATATTAACAATACAATATAATGAATATATGTCCTTTTCTTTTTTATTGGCTGCACAACATTTCATTATATAAAAGTTCTAAAATTTCTTAATGCTTCCTCTTTTAGGGGGCATTTAGATTATTTCTGTCATTTAGGGGGCATTTAGATTATTTCTGTCATTTTGTTATTAAAAACAATGTTTCAGATATGCTCTTGTCTTTGTATCTTTGCTTACTTGTCCAGTGGTACTCTTAGGATAAATTCTGGAGATACATATATATCTCTTGATATCCTTTTAAAGAAATTGAAAATCCACTTCATTTCCCCAAGGCTTTTACAAATTCTAAAACAAACAAAAATATTAATAATTAAAGTGTTAATATTGATTATTGCTAGCACATTCATTTTAGGTAAAATTTATGATCTAGCAACGTAGCATTTTTTTTATGAGGTAGATAGATGTCACAAAAAGTGTACCTTATAGAGAAATTGTAAAGGGTGTAATCCATTTAGTAGAACTTTAGTATAACATTTTACCATCAATTTTATAGATGTTTATAACAGATCCAGCTATATTCTTACAACATATTATTGATTATGGTTATATAGTCCTTGCCAAGTCTTTGGTTAGATATGCATTCCAAATTTCCAAGACATTTCTAATGGAATAAAGCATTCACTTCATGATTGATTTAAGAGTTTTTTCAAACACACTGCAGCTAAACGTGGATACTACTTGAATAGCAAACACTTTTTCTTTTTTTCTGGTGCTTATTCCTGTAACTGTTACTAAAATCTGTTCCCATGCCCACAGCTCTGTCTCCAGAAACATAGATTCAGCTTTGGAGTTTAGATAAGGTTTAATGTTGAAGGCTCCTCACAGGTCATCTTATTTTCCAGTTTCAAAAGCCAGGTTCTGGAGTTGAGATTAGGATGAGGTCCCTCTCTTCCCTAGGCCAGTCTCCTTTCTGTTACACCTTGTTCCCGTCTGTTCTGCTTGAACATGAGACGTGAGCATGGCTCATAAGAGGCGTGGGCTTCCAATCTCCAGAAAAGAACACACCAAAAACCGATAGGAACACCGTGCCGTTTTCAAACCTTTCCGCAAGTTCAGGTTTACCTACCTAATGAGTAATTACCTGTTTCCAGGTGGGGAGGAGAGATTTCATTTTAGGATGCTCAGGGTAGGAAGCGAAGATGTGATTCTTGTCAAACCCCCAGTTGGCTCAGAAACTCCTTGAGGCCTGATGCTATAATCGCACGTGGGAGCAGTGCTGAGACATCCCAGATGGTTTCGTTCTCATTTTAGATCCACAGTCTCTCTCACAAGGATGTGTCTTTTCTCACAGGCAGGCCCCCGCCCCTTAAAGGTGCTGTGTGATGTGTCTGGGAAAGGCCCCCTCACTGCTTTCGACTTCAACCTGCGCAGCCTGCAGCCGGACCAGCGGCTGGAAAACCTCCTGGAGCACGTGAGTGCCGAGGACTTTGAGAAGCAGAACGAGGAGGCCCGGAGGACCAACCGGCAGGCCGAGCTCTTTGCCCTCTACCCATCGGTGGACGAGGTGGGTGCGACCATCCCCATGCGGGAGAATTTCAGTGAAGACACAGGGAGGCTCCGGGATAATATTATTGGTCATTATTACTGTGTAGCAGCGTCAGGATGTTTAATCATATGATTTCTAGGGCTTTTTATATAGATATAATCTTATTTTCCAGTTTAAAAATTATATATATATGTAATTGTTACATATAACAATTAATGTTTATATATATATACATATATATATATATATATATACACACACTGAGTGGACAGATTATTATGACCACCCTATCAGTACTTCGTTGGGCCACCCTTTGCCTTCAATACTGCGGCGATTCTTTTTGGCATTGACTCTACGAGATGTTGAAAGGTGATTCAAGGAATCTGCAACTATGACTGATGAATAGTACTGTCCAGTTCTGTGAGATTTGATGGTTGTGGAACCAGCTGCCTGATGGCTCCTTTAACTTCGTCCCACAAATGCTCAATTGGATTGAGATCTGGTGATTGTGGGGGCCACCTAAGCAAGGTAAAGTCTCCCTCATGTTCTTGAAACCACTCCTGCACAATACGAGCACCGTGGCATGGCCCGTTGTCTTGGAAGAAGCCATTTCCATTGGGAATACGCCATCAACCAGCAACGATACTTAGGTATGTTGTGCTATTAAGACGTTTATAATGATCTGGCCCTCTAGCAACTTCAGTGCGAAATTATAGCTAATTTGCCTACAAATGTCAGGTGGCCATAATAATCTGGCCACTCAGTGTATATGTGTGTGTGTGTGTGTGTGTGTGTGTGTGTATAATAATATATATACACACCAGCTTGGCTGGGGCTGTTTATTTTACTAAGGCAAGCTTGTGTAATAGCAGAACCCATTATTGATCAATTACACAAATGAGATTCCAATAATAGCTAGGATTTTCATAAGCGCTCTACAAAATATTTTCACTGATATTATCTCATTTAATCTTCAAAACATTTCGAGCCTGATCAGCATGGCTCAGTGGTTGAGTGTCCACCTATGAACCAGGAGCTCATGGTTTGATTCCCAGTCAGAGCACATGCCCAGGTTGTAGGCATAATCCCCATTGGGGGGGGGTGTTCTCTCTCATCATTGATGTTTCTATCTCTCTCCCTCTCCCTTACTCTCTGCAATCGATAAAAATATATTATACAAAAAAAACACATTTCGAGGATCCACATGCAGTAATCCCACTCAGCCAGTCAAACCATTCAGTTACATGGGGGTATGTTTTGCAGTTAATCCATCAAGATGTATTACTTAAACCTTGATGTTCCTTAGTGCTTGTTCAGATTTTTCTTTTTAAATCTCTGAAAGCATTCAAGCCTGAAATGTCACAGCCATGCTCCCAAGGCATAGAACGTTAGGATCTTGTTTGTTCACGTATCTCTATATTGGACCAGGCCAAGAACAATTTGATAATTTAGGCTTTGGTCACTCCCCAGGGCACTTCAGATGGGATCAGGGGTGAACATTGTTCAAGACTGCTTCAGCTCCTTATTCTTCATATTAGGCTCCCAGTCTTCCCTTCTGCATGTTAGAATACCTGCACTCTGGGTCTTGCCAGGTCAGATTACCATAATCTCTCTGCTGTCCATATTTTATTAAAAGTTCAGTTGCAAGGAATATGATTTGGGACAATTTTGCATAAAAGATATGTCTTCCATCTACTCTCTATCTGCAATTTGATTTTTGGATCAAGCAAGACCATCAGGGAGCCTGATTCTTGCACCTTGTGGCACCCCCATCGCTGAGAATTATGTTAGCTGACTGGCCTTTCGATGAGTTCACCACTGGTCAGCAAAAAAGGACAATAAGGGAAACAGCAGTCATGAGATGTGATATTGTGTCCTCTATGCAAATATGATAGAGGACATTGACCTACATCTCACCCAGCACCCACCTCAATAGGGATCCACAGGGAAATTGTCCCTCAAACCCTCAGACAAAGAAGAATTGTGCTTCCACTGAGAAAACTTATATACTTAGAGATTGTGCTTATCTTGTAATCTACTCTTCTACATTCTTTACTTAGTTCACCTCTACTAAGTCTAGCAGCTTATTTATCGGTGGTCTGAATTTACTTCAACTTCCTTTTTTCTTATTCTTATTTTCCAACTACCTTGGTTTTCTCATCTATTTGTAGACTAGTCAGTGGACTCAAATCCTTTTCTGAATGGGGTAGATTAAAAATAAATATGAATAATGTGGACAGTGTTATCATCTCCATCTTTCACATTGCAAAGTAATAATCAGAGAGGTTAAATAACTTGTTCAAGGTTCTACAGGTAAATTAAATTATAGGATGGAGATCCTAAACCATTAATTCTAAATTTTATGTTTGCTTGTTTATTTATTTACATATGACTACCAGGTAAATTGGCACTCATAATTGAAATTCAAAGATGATGCACCATATTTTACCTCATAACTTTTTAATTTCCCATCTACAACTTTAAAATTTTGTACCAAATTTGTCCAAGAAACATTAAGTTTGGCTGACTTGACCTTCACTTGCATTCTTCTTCCTCCCAGTTACATGATGGAGGTGCCAGTATATAATAAGGAGACCCAGAGTGGGCACCAGAAGAGAGAAAACAATTAAAGGATGAGGAGAATACTTCCAGTGAGACACCAACTCATTAAAGTTTCCCTCAATGGAGAATATCCCGTCTGAACTGATTAAAAGAGTGAATCATAGACTATTTTAAAGGAACTTTGTTTTATGGTCTTTGAACAATGCTGAAACTCAGTTGAGATTGAAAGTTATAATCTAGCAGAGGTCCTAATGGGACCCACTTTATTGAGTGGGAAGGAATGCTTTGTAATTAGGGTACCAGTTATTTGTAAATCGGTATGTCTAAAATGCTTGAGTGCTCCTACACCAGCCCTTTAATGTGTTGTAGGTGGACACATAGAAATTGCATTTATATTTGTAATTTGTACTTGCTTTAAATAAAGCCCTGTGGAAGAAAGGTAAATTTTTGGCCTACCATGAAATGGTTACAAATGCTGGTTTTTTGATAATACATTAATGAAATTGTTTTATACTATCATTAATTTACTTCCTAGTGAGGAAAGTTAGAAGAGAGGTGAACCATTACATTCAAATTATGACTGAGTCCATAGGGGAGGTAAAAGTAGAATTCAACTACCAACATAGACAAAGATGAGTTCTTTCCCTGATTCACTGAGTCTATAAAAGGTGTCCTGTGTGTTGATCCATGAGAAAGTTGCCTCTGTACTCCAAATCTGTGAAGAATTTGCATTTTGGTTGCAAGTGACAGAACCCAACAAAAAATGGGATTTTTTGGCTCACATAATGAAATTACAGGTAGGCAGCTGTAGAGTTGGCCTCAAGATCCATTGGGTCAACTGATGGAAGCATGTCATCTCTCTCATTCTCTATTCTCTATTCTCTCTCTCTCTCTCTCTCTCTCTCTCTCTCTCTCTCATATCCACTAAAATTTCATATTTCCTCTTCTGCTTCTTTGGGAATTCATTCCTATTTCAGATAACTGTAAAGGCTTAAGAAACTCATACAGATTAGAAGAAACTTATGAAATACATTAATATGTAGACCCTGTTTGGATCCTAATTTTTAAAGCTAACTATAAAAAAATTAAGACAGTTGGGGAAATGTATAACTGATTACATATTTAGTGACAACAAAAAATTTTTGTTAAATTTTTAAGAGTCATAATGGTATTACAGTTATGTGCTTTTATAAGTCCTTATCTTTTAAGAGTTGTACTGAAACATTTATAAATGGGATGATATGATGTTTGGAGCTTTGCTTCTAAGTAATCCAATATTGAGTAGGGGAAGGCAGTAAGTGGAATTATATAGATGAAACCAAGTTGCCCATGAGTTGAAATTGTTGAAGCTAGATGATGGGTAAAAGTGGTTCATTGTGTTATTCTCTATACTTGTATATGTTTATAATTTCCCAAATGAAAAGCTTTTTTAAAAAAGTGAATCCAGGCCAAATGTAGCCTTAGAAACCCATGAGTGTCTTTATGTTGAGATTGTTTTCCAATAAGTAGACCATCCCTCTCCGATGTGTCTGTTCTGAGCACCCTAAAAGTTCCAGCTTGTTCTGAGGGAGTTCCGCTCAGTGTAGACATCAGAACAGTGCCTTCCCTGGAAGAAACTCAGAAGCTCCACTAGGTACAGATTTGCCAAGAAGGTGACTTTTATGCTATTTGTAAGAATGCTATGGTTGCTGTGGGGTATTTGGTGGGGAGCGCCCATCCTTTATAGCCCAGCAAAATACAATTAGATATGACTCTATTCTTAGACCCGTGTGAGCTGCAGACTGCTGACCAGGGTTTGGATAGCCTAGTGCAAAAGCAGAAATTAAAGTTTTCAGGGATTTGCACTCTTTATGGTTGCCTACATGAATATAATTAGGATACTATAATAGTTTAGATTTGAATGCTAAAAGTTGCAATAGGGATTTGATATTTCTCTTTAAGTCTTGAGTCCCAATGTGGTAAAATATAGGTATATATCTTAATTTGTCATCACTAAGCCTTTCTGTACATAGAACTTTAGCAACTTTTAGCTGGACCTTTTTTTATAGAACCTATAAATTTATCCCCAAATCTCTATCATCTGTTTATGAACTGAGAAAGATGCTGTATTATAGTATTGATGGTTTACAGCCTTCAGTGAACTATTCTGACTCAGATCTCAAGTCTGAAACACACATATTTACTAGAAAAGTCCTTGGCAGGAGAAATATTCTGAATGTGTACTTAGAGTAGCCAAAAAAACAAAAACAAAAAAAACAAAAACAAAAAAACCCAACAATAGACATAAGATTTTTGCAATGCCATCTGGTGGATGTTACTAAGTCATATCCACGTTCACATTTCCTTCCTTCCTCCCTCAGTCTCTTTGTCTTCAATGCTTGGCTTTCTGCAAGGAGAAGATAATTTGCTGTAAATGCTGACTCTCAAGCTTAGGGGTTGGGTAACAAACTCTTGTAAATGTCAGTGTTATTCTGCTTGCTATTGGAAATAAAGCAAATGCAAGTTGAATTGAGCAATGGATGGCAGCCTTCCCTTCCCTGGGTTAACTCCAGCTGGAACTCCTCTGGTGGGAATTCACTAATGATTTCTTTACCATGTGATTAATGACAGGAGGATGCTGTGGAAATACGTCCGGTGCCAGAATGCCCTAAGGAACATCTGGGCAACAGAATATGGGTCAAGTTGCTGACCCTAAAGTAAGTATGAGCAATGGGTAACTACACTGAGGTTTATATTGCCTCTTAGATGCAAACTGTGTCTTTAACCTCAGAGCTTGAATTAGGGAGCATCTCCCAACATATATAACAGTGGGCAGCTCTGAGGTCATGGAAAGAGCAGAGTCTGGAGTCAGCTGGATTTTAATTCTATTCCTACCAAGCCTTTGCCAGTCTTTCTTCTACAACGGGGAAGGCACACACGAGGGTCAGGCACGTAGGGAGATGGAGTGAGATGGCCTACGTTAAACAACAGTGAGAGCCACTGGTGTGCTGGGCTCAGCTCTGACTCATGACAGTGGATCATGCTCTTCTCTTCCCAGCTCTTTACTCAGTGAAGTCACATTGGTGGCTTGATATTGGCCTTGGTGGAAATATTGGCATCAAAACCAGGAAATGCTACAAATTAAAACCTTTTTTTTTTCAGAGACATGTTTTTTAAACATTTGCCAGCATACCTCTGTTGAAACACAATGATAAATGCAACTAAAACCCAGTTTCAGTGCACTGAACAAACAGCTCGATGCAACTTAATTTCTGTTTTGACAGTTGGGGGGAAAAGTCACTAGAAACTACACTTCACAGTTTTCATCAAGAGAAATCCAAGTGACTCAATTTGTTTTTTTGTTTGTTTAATAATGCACGTCTATCTTAGTGGCCATGTTTTCCCACCTGTGAGAACAGCTGTCGTTTATTGGAAAGTTCTAGCCGGCTTGGTGATAAGCATCATAGGAGAGAATTCCTTCCGTCCTAAACGGCTTAGTCACTGCATCTGAAGTGCATCCTGGCATCCTGTGGGGGTGGGCGAGAGCCTCAGACAATAGGGCGGACTTCCTGAACGATGCAGAGGGGAACGGAACAGCCACTTCCACTCGGTCCTCCCGCTGAAAGACTAGGAGGCTCCCCCCTCCGGTCCGCCTGCCAGGGCTAGAGCGTGCCTTTCTGGACCCCTTCCCTGGTGGAATTGGCTAGGGTGGGGAGGGGGCTACAACATCAAGGAGACATGCCCAAGAGGGTGAGCAGTCATGCTGACTGGGTTCAAGGAGGGGAACTGGGAGGCTATGCATTAGAGTTAGGAGTTTGTGACAGGTGGGAACTTTGAGACTATCTGGTCTAACAACTTCATTTTCAAGAAAAGACTCAAAGTCCCAGAGAAGTTCTCAAGGCTGAAACAAAGCCTTGCATCCAGTATCCAGATGCTCTAGTTGCAAACTTGGTGCTGCTTAAGGGGTCCATCAACTGATTTTAAGAGATGGGTGACCCTCCTAATAGGATATAATAGAATATGCTCATGTAATTTGCCTAGGTAGAGCATTTACAACTTAATATTTTCAAAAGGGACTGTGATTTGAAGAAATTGACGAACTAATTCTCTAAAGTAGCAGCTTACAAAGAGGAAAGAGAGGTGCACAAGCACCCCAGGGGGCTCCCAAGACAATCCACTGGAGTGCGGAAAGCAAGTGCTCTAATACTGTGATTTATTTTGAATGATTTAGTTCAGCCTTTAAAATGTCTTGATTATGTATGTTTTATAATGTATTTAATATTTTAATATGCAAGTACAAAATTAATACACATATATAGAGGTTATGTGATTTATTTTTTTATTATACAAGTAAACAATGAAGTAACTTGGAGACAGTTGCTTTATAGTAGATGCAGCAAATAGATGCCCACATGATGAATCCAGACTGCAGACATGCTTTGTTTGAATTGTGTGGTATTTAAAAAGGAAATGAGAAAAATCTTAAGAAGTCAGAAAGTTACGCAGAAAAACCTGGATTTTCAGCTTCAGGCACTTTCAGAAAATTTGCAATTATCTAAGTTAAATCCATACAGATTTTCTCTCTTGCTCTCACAGGTTTGAGATAGAAATTGAGCCTCTGTTTGCCAGCATTGCTCTCTACGATGTTAAAGAAAGGAAAAAGGTAAGGAATTGAAAATAATAGCCCATCCCTGAGGGCACACATATTGTTGATGGGTCTTTGGGCTCACATGTTTAAATCTCACTTCTATTCAGCAAACACACATCAGATTTGAAAGCAAACGACCTTTGATAGACCCAGTTCTGTTGCCTTTGCAGTTTCTGAAGGGGTGATCAGGGAATGTTAGTCATTTATATTCTTTGAAGAATATTTAAGGGAAAGCCTGCTGGAGGTTGGCCAGAGGATGGCTGGAGGCCTGGTTTGGTAGTGGGTGCTAGGTCAGCAGTGGTCTGAGCCCCTCAGCCATTCAGGACCCTAAGCTGTCCGTGGCTCCTCCATCTTCAATATGTGTTCTCCCAAAGTCATTTTTGTCACTGCCACTGCACCTCCCGAAAAAGGGGAAAGATGGGTGAAAGCGGCCTGGAGGTTTGACGCATCACTTGAGCACACAATTCACTACTAACTGCCATGGAAGAGGGGAAATGTAGTCTTTGCCTGGGCAGCCAGTTCTCAGCTATCACTCTATTAGTGACGAAGGGGAGACCCAGCCACACAGTGGTCCTAAGTAACACTACACTGTGAGCCAAGGAGTCATGCTCTTGCTCAAAATCTTTAAGGGATCCTCACTACCTGTAACATTAAAAAACAAATTCTATAGGCTGGCCGGATTGGCACAGTTGATTAAGAGTTGTCCTGTGAGCCCTAACCAGTTTGGCTCAGTGGATAGAGCGTCAGCCTGTGGACTGAAAGGTCCCAGGTTCGATTCTGGTCAAGGGCATGTGCCTTGGTTGTGGGCACATCCCTAGTCGGGGGTGTGCAGGAGGCAGCTGATCGATGTTTCTCTCTCATCGATATTTCTAACTCTCTATCCCTTTCCCTTCCTCTCTGTAAAAAAATCAATAAAATATTTAAAAAAAAAGAGTTGTCCTGTGAACAGAAAGGTTGTGGGTTTGATCCCTGATCAGGGAGCTTACGAAAGGCAGCCAATCAATGTTTCTCTCTCACTCGCTCTCTCCCTTTCTCTAAGCATGTCTTCAGGTGAGGATTAAAAAATAATAATAAATAAACAATTTTTAAAAATTTATAAAACTCTTTAGCTTCCATGCCTGGCTTTCTCCATATGGCTCTCATTTATTCTTTCCCTCTTAGCCTGCCTATGCAGTCAAGCTGGACTACTCTCTGTGAAGTGAATTCACTCCAGGTTTTCTGGCCTCTGAGCGATTCCTGTGCTGTACTCTCCCCTGGCACTCGGTCACCCTCCAGCTCTGCTGGCAGGATCTTCTTCCAAGGCCCATCTGTCTCACTCTAATAGAAGCATCCTGTTCACCCCAGTGGATGGGATCCCTCACCCTTATAACTCCAACAGTGCTCTTTGTATGAATGTGGTCACTTAATATTTTGCTCTTCCTGTATTAGTTACATATTTAACTTATCCCTCATTTTTTAATTTAAGCTAATTGAGGGCAGAGGCAGTGTCCTGCTCTTATTCAGGGCAGTACAGAGCACATCACATCACTGCTATTCAGAAATTATTGGTGGTTTAAGAAAAATTTAAATGTCTCCTGGAACATCTCTCAAACGACTCCAAAATACCTAGAGATTGTGACAAAATATAGGGTGTCCCCCCAAAAACGTATACACACGCTTTGAATAATATGAAGGCAGTGCTTATTAAAATACACTTCATTTTCGCCTTATCCGGTTTGGCTCAGTGGATAGAGCATCGGCCTGCAGGGTCCCGGGTTCGATTCTAGTCAAGGGAATGTACCTCAGTTGCAGGCTCCTCCCCGACCTGGCCCCTGATCAGGGCTCGTGCAAGAGGCAACCAATCGATGTGTTTCTCTCACATTGATATTTCTCTGTCTTTCCCTCTCTTCCTCTCTAAAAATGAATGGAAAAATATCCTTGGGTGAGGATTAAAAATAAATACATAAACAAACAAATAAAATACATTTCATTTTAAAAATTGAGCTATCAGCTGTTAAAGTGTGTATACATTTTTGGGGGACACCCTGTATGTAGCAGATTTCCCAACAGCCACTAGTTATGAACTATGTCTATAATTATATTTACTCTTCTGGAGAAATTTCTTTGTGGTTTTTCATTCCTTTTTAACATGCTTAGACCATGAGAGCAACAAGTCTAACTTATTTTCCATTTTTCTACTCATTTACAGATCTCAGAAAATTTTCACTGTGACCTGAACTCTGACCAGTTCAAAGGATTTCTCCGTGCCCACACGCCCTCTGTTGCCCCATCGAGTCAGGCGAGATCTGCGGTGTTCTCCGTCACCTATCCATCCTCAGACATCTACCTAGTAGTCAAGGTAGTTACACACAACCTGATTTGCTCATTCTGATGTTCCCAGTTTTGCATTAGACTCAGTGCATGTGTCAGGTAAGAGAGGTGTCAGAACGTATCTCTATGTCTTCTGTGAGATTCACTTTGTTTCCTTCTCAACTGATCCCTTTTCCTTGACAAGCAAATTCTGTGTTGAATACTAGAACAACTATGGGTTTGAAAGTCATACCGTCCTCGTTGTGAATCCTGGCTTTGCATCCTAGTTATTACATGACTTTTGGGGCAATTGCCTAACCTTTCTGAGACTTAATTTGCTCACCTGTAAAATGGGGCTAATAACACCACTTTCAATGGGTAGTTGTGATTACAAAATAAAGCCTGCCACATTAAAGACACCTTTCCTCCTAACCAAGGAAAGCACCCTCAGCTATTCCGTCTGGGAGGCTGCTGCTATCTCAGGCAGAGTTTCCTAATGATGTTCATGTTTTTCTAGAGGCCCATAGTTAAATGACCGCAAGTGCAGGCTCTGACAGTTTGAGGTATGGGCTATATTTTGCAAGTTTAATTCTCTCTTTTTATCACCATCTCACAGCATAAGTACTATGTCTGGTGGGGCAATTATATGTAAAAGAACCTTTCATTCTAGGCTGTACTCTTTGCTGGTATAAGAAAACCAGAGACTTTCTCTACACACCTAAATGACTGGTTGGAAATTAGCAACAAACATTGAGTATTTTACCTACCTTAAGTAAAATAATTCATTTAATTGATTCTTTACTGAAAAATTGTATTAAAAAATAAAAGAATTAGTGATTTGATTTCATGTACACCCAGATGTCCAAGTTTGATGCTTGTAATCTCGTGAGTTCCCCATGATCCCATGGGAGTGGGATAAAGATTTCAAAGAATTTAGGTGGCTTGAAAGACACTTAACAAGTGGCATATGTCTTTCCATTCTAGCTTCCTTTCCTCCATTTCACCAGACTCTGAAAGGCTTCTATAGCTTGAAGGGAACTTATTTAAGTTCATGGAAACTATAATTAAAATTCTGTCACTACAAAGACATATCTTTTGTTGTCAAACTTTAGTGTGTGTCCTTTATCTTGCAGTAATACTTAGACACATAGGAAAATTAGCTTACAGCTCACTCTAGAAGCCCTGTAGTTAAATTCAGAATTCTCTCCCAGTCTGGGAAACCAACGCTAGTTCTATAAAGCCAAATTTTACTTCACTTCTCAGAGGATGACTTTATTTTGGTTAATCCATAATCATGTGCTAAATATCAGCAGTTACCTATGGACTACTACTACTAAATATATCCAAAAGTCTTCAAATGTATTAATGCATTCATTTGGCAATAACAAACTTTCTCTTAAATGTCTGGATTTAGTTAAAGAACTTAAATCTATTCATATAGTCCCTGGTTTGCTTCTGACCTGTTTTTCTTTTCTGAATGCCATCCTGTAGCTTCCTCCTCTCTACATATATAGTGAATGGTGTTGTAACATTGATCACATCTATCCACACAGTTGCCATTCAATAAAGAGAACCTTTTTTCTTTTCTTGTCAGGCTGAGCATCAGGATATTAACTGTATTTTAACAGGATATTAGCTGTATTTAGAGTTACCTAGTTTAGTATTGTATAGGATATTGTTGTAAGGGGTTATTTCAGGCTTAAAGGTTTTATTTCTTAACTGGAGGTTGGAGAGTAAGGATGAGTGAATCTGGTGTAAAAATTTAAAAATACACATGGAAGCCATTGCACCAGCCCCTCCTGAGTAGAGCAGAGGGTAGCCTTTTACCTTCAAAAATGTTCCAGGTAATGCTGGTATGTGACTTTCCCCTACCTACCATAGTTATGAGGACTCACTCATTTCTTTCACCCATAAATCACGAAGGACCATATAGTGGGCTCCCATAGCAGCCTGCAGCTCCTTCTCACCAAGTAGCTGGAGTTGTCCTTGTCCAGCTTGGTGAAGGGAGTGGTATCTGCTGATCTGGTTGAATCTGAATGTTCCCATGTCCAGATTCTGGAGCTCCCTCTCCCGTGGGTTCCACGCGGTACTAATGCGTGAACCCATGTATCCCATTCCTCACCTCAGAGTCCTCATGAAAGAGTTCTTTATTTCTGTTCAAAGTCTATTTTTATCCATTGACTTCATGGAAAAACTAGCTTCCTTCCAGTTTTCTCTGCAAGCTCCCATGAGCTTCAGGAGCCTGGTGACCAGATGTATTGTATTCACCCCCTTACCTCCCCAGCAGCCACCACAGGGAAGGTACCCAACAAATGCTTTTAGAGTTAATGAATAAGCAAATGATGGCTGACTAACAGGAATGCCAGCCTCCAGCTCGAGTGTTATGTGTCTGTGTTCTCAACCTGGGGTATCGTGGGGATCAGCCTGTCTTCATCCTCTGGCAATGGGAGGGATTTGAGACTTCTTTTGTGAGAAGACAGACTTCTTGCTTACAGTGTCCCTGAGATGGATGTCCATTGAGCAGTCCCATGTCACTAGGGTATTTCTGGTTTAAACGAGGGCATTTCTGCACCTCACTGATAATACCTATTAAGAATGTGTGCCTATTGGAATATGTTAACCCGCATATCTTCAAGAATCCTCTCGACTAATGATACAGACTAAATCACTTGCTTTTCTCCTCAACATCTGAGTTAAATTAAATTTTCTTTGAACAGAGGGTTAGGGAGTTACAGTTTTCTCCTCTTCCGTCTCCTAAATATGCTGCTCAAACTTATGGTCAGCCAGATCCTTTACCTGAAGCAAAATCGAAGGAGATATTGGACAGTAGTGGCATTCCCATATTACCAGCGGCGGCATTCCCATATTACCAGCCAGTTAGCAAAGTGGAAAGCTGCGCTATCTCACTGCTTTTGGTTCCTGTCCAAGTCCGTTAAAGCTAGAGAAGCAGCCCTAATAGGCAATACAAGGGAGACAATTACAGATAATTTATTCTGTTCATTTATTCATTTTGTGGAAGGTTTGAGTCCCCAACCTGACTTTTACAGAGGTCATATCTCTTTTTTACATTGTAAGCAATAATAAAGAAAATGAGCTTTTCACTTCCTACATATGTCTCATGGGTTTTGTTTTATAAAATAACTTTTATTGCATTTTTTATTGTAGGCATAATACATGTTTATTGTTTAAAAGTAGCAAATACACATAAGCAATAGGAATAAAATCAACACAGCACATAATCCCATCATACAAAGATAACTATTAACATTTGCTGTGTATCTGCTATCATTTTTTCAATATGCCTTTATGAAGTTTTTACAAAAACTATACAGTACTTTTTACACTCATTTTTAAATCAAAAAACATAATCCCAGACATATTCCCGTATCATTAAATATTGTCACAAAATCTAATTTTGATGGTTGCATAGATTCCATTATGTGCATGTGATTTATGTGCATTATTTTCCTGTTATTTTTGTTGGTAGATTGAAAAAGTCCTTCAACAGGGAGAGATTGGAGACTGTGCGGAACCCTACATGGTTATCAAAGAAAGTGATGGTGGAAAGGTATGATATTTTGAATACTGCTAAATGGTAACATCTTAGAATAAGGAAATATTTCCACAGAAGTGTTCCACAATATAGTTAATAGGGTTTAGTCTTTCATATGTTTTCATATGAGATCCTAATAAATTATATATAAACCAAAGAAGGAAGAGAAATTGGTCATTGATGGTAACTTTTTGAAAGAAATAAGCTATTAAACTCAACAAATGATGATATGTACACGAATGTCTAATTCTAAAATGAAACTAGGGCAAAGCCGCGGCCTGTTACCTTGGTTCTGAGGCTCTGACCCAGCTGTGGGGGGAGGGCCACCGACCCCATGGAACCAAGCAGTGCCAGAGCGCCCTGGCTTATCTCCACAGCATGGGCGCCAGCCTTTCAGGCGTGGATGTTTGGAAATTGGCTGCGGTTGCTGCACATCATATATTCACTAGCACAACCCCGGTACTGAGCCCATGGAGAGGACATCTTTCCTCAGCACCCAGCAAGATTTTGAAAGCGTGGCCTTTCTGGACTAACACTTGCCTAATCAGCATCACTTAAAAATTTCAAATAAGATGTATTGGACTTAGGACATTTATTTTATTTTTTTCCCCATCGCCATTTATCCCCTCTATGCCCTCTTCCACCTCTACCTACCCCTACCCCCTGCAATCATCACACTGTTGTCCATGTCCATGTCTCTCTCTTTTTTTCTCTTTTTAAAAAAATCTTTTCACTTGAAGACATTTTTTAAAAAATCTACCTTTTATTCTGAATTTAGAAAGAACTCCTTGGAAGTATTGTCAACCTAATAAGGAAATTATTAAGAACCTTTATAGATCTTTCTGGAGTTTTCTAAGGCAACTTTTGAAGAAACAGGCTCTCTTGAGAGCTTGGTAGATGATATATAAAACTTTTTATCCCAAGATGCTCTCTGCAAATTCAAGTCAAGTTACTAGCCCCTAAAACTGACACTTGTGGATTAGTTTGTATAGTAAGCCTTGGACTTTTTTTTTTTTTTTTTTTAAGCTGGTGTATTAAATAGTTGAATGTAGCCTTTTTGTAAACGTCTCCTTTTCTAATCTGTATTTCTGGCCTTCGTTGAGTGTGTCCCTTTGCTGCCTACTCACTCGTTTTAATCAGTAGGGTAGGGATTTTGGAGATGCCTGTCCTATCCATGGCAGGGCAACTGACTGGGTGCTGGTGCCCTATTGTTTGTCCCTGCTTGTCTCTTTCCATTTTCCTCTAGAGTAAAGACAAGATTGAAAAACTGAAACTTCAAGCTGAATCTTTCTGCCAGCGTTTGGGGAAATACCGGATGCCCTTTGCCTGGGCTCCTATAAGCTTAGCAAGCTTCTTCAATGTCTCCACCCTGGAGAGGGAAGTGACCGATGCAGAGTCCGTGGTTGGTAAGATTTTCAGCTGCCGTGGGAAGAGGTGGGCTCCCCAATGCACCAACTCTGAGGTCAACTGCTTATTAGTGGGGGCTTGGGGTACAGTAAGGTGTGGGAAATGGGAAAGAAGAAGGAGATTAATAGACTGAAACACTCTTATGGCTTGATTACAAACGCATGATTGTAATAGAGAACGATTCCCCAAAATTATCATGAATGTTTGTGGAATTTAAATATACTCTTATAGTAAGATTTTTTGTTAGAATTTTCTGGACAGTTTGACACATTAAAAACTTAATTTTAAGAAGCTACTTCCTCTTAAAATTATTGAAAATAACAAGAAAATATAATAACTATCTATAGTGTGTTAAATAAAGGAACCATGATTGGTTCCAAAACACAAGAGCTAAAGTCATGGAGGTTGAAAAGCAAAACTTAGGTTTCTCAGCAAAATTTCCAGCCCCTGAAAGTTTCTTTTGCCAACAGCAATGAAAAAGTGGATGCCAATAGAATATCTAGTTACTGTTCAATTTACTTAGCATGTTTCTTTTTCGTCGCCTCACCCTTGGTCTGAATCATTAATTTTTAAAACAGGTTGGATATGAAACTGTTCAAGAGGCTACAGAATTTTCAAGTAGACCCACCCCTACTTGTGGCAGAGTTTCTGTTTTCCTAAATGTCTTTGGATCCAGCAAATATTTAAGTCTAGAGTCACATTTCTCGTGACTTTTCTCTTGCATTCCTTAGCTCTGCCACTTCTGAAATGTTGCCTTTAGCAGAGGAGTGGAGGAAAGGGTACTTGGTTATTACTGCTGCTGTTCTGGAGTTATGGTTGCATAATTTCTGGTCAGAATTCCTGTATTATTTCTGATTTATCAATAACAAACCTCACTTTAGTGCATCTTGATCTTCACACCACAATGTTTTGGTTTTGGTTTTTGTTAATCCTCACCTGAGGATATTTTTTTTTCATTGATTTTTAGAGAGAGTGGGAGGGAGGAAGGGAGGGAGGGAGGGAGTGAGAAACATCTATGTGAGAGAGACACATTTATTGGTTGCCTCCCACATGCTAAGCCAGGGATCAAACCTGCAACCCAGGTACATGCCTTTTGACTGGGAATCGAATCCAAGACCCTTTAATATTCAGGCTGACCCTCTAACCACTTAGCAACACTGGGGAGGCCACAATGCTTTTTTTATTTTTTTTTATTTTTTTAAAAATATATTTTATTGATTTTTTACAGAGAGGAAGGGAGAGAGACAGAGAGTTAGAAACATCGATGAGAGAGAAACATCGATCAGCTGCCTCCTGCACATCTCCCACTGGGGATATGCCCGCAACGAAGGTACATGCCTTTTGACTGGGAATCGAATCCGAGACCCTTTGGTATTCAGGCTGACCCTCTAACCACTTAGCAACACTGGGGAGGCCACAATGCTTTTTTTAATGCCAACCTCTATGTAGACCTAGGCAGCCTTATTTGAAAGAGTTATGCATAGAACCTAGAGGACACCCTAAGTGAGGTGAACCCATAAATTCGGGCATAGGGCTTGCCGAGGCTTTCATAGTCTCTAGGTCAAGGATAAATTAACCTGACCACAGAGGCTGATTCTTGAGAAGCAACCAGAAGAGGCAATGTGGCAAGTGTAGATGGGCAGTGGTAGCAAGAAGTTCCAATTCAGCATCACGGCAAGAATTAAGGGTAAGGGAATCTTCAAAGACAGGGTTGGCCATTTTAGAGTTCTAAGCAATTTGACTATTCACGACAGAACCCCTGAGTGTTGCAGCAGAAAAGCAATAAAATTTTCACCTAAATGTCAAACGGGGATAAGAAACAACAAAGCAGAGTATTAGGGTCCCAGCCCAGGGCAGGGTGTGACTGGGTTCTAATCCCCATTAGGCAGGTCAGCAGAGAGCAGAAGAAAAATGGGATTCAGAATATACTCAGGCTGACCCTAGCATATTTGGGTCACATTCCCAAATGCCTTCAAGGGCATTTGAGTACATGCCTCTCCCAGTGGAATGAAAATGTAAAAATAAAACAAAAACAAACACTGTTGACTAAATAAAGCTTATCTGCAGACCCCGTTCTGGCTCCAGTTCTGGACTCTGCAGGGTGGCATCTGGCCTACCATCCACGTGGGCGGGCAGCTGCTCACGTCCTCTCAGCTCTGGTCAGAGGAGGATTAGGGGCTCCAAGAGGGGGGCTAAGAAAGGTAGGGGTCAGCGGAGGGACATTTTTATTCAAGACTAGAATGGCCACATTCAGTGTTCTTGTTCAGTGACTTTCCACATAGCTTATATACGGTAAAGTTAATAACTGCTGTGTCTTCAAACAGAAAGGCAAGCTTTAGAATGACAATTGTTTTCCATAAAGGAAGAAGCTCTGTGGGTGAGCGGAGAACCTTATCCCAATCTAGAAGGCTTTCGGAAAGAGCCCTCTCCTTGGAGGAAAATGGGGTCGGATCCAACTTCAAGACCACCAGCATGACCATTAACAGCTTCTTCAAGCAGGTATCTCTCCATGTTAGCGTGTTTAGGTTTGTCTCATAACGTTATGGGTTTTGGAGCCCAAAGTGGTCGTATATGTAATGAATAAGAGAACAAGTTAGTTAACCTCACCAAGCCTAAATCTCATTATCCACAGAACAAGGATGATGGGGCTTGCTTCATGTGGATTTTGGGGAGATTAAGTGACATGAGGCAGGTAAAACTCTGCTCAGAGTGCCTGGGATAGAGCAAGTGCTCATTGAGTGTTAGCTCTTTCCGTTGAGGGCTAACTGTCCTAATACAAACTGTCCTGCTGGAACCTCATGGTCAGTTCATTAGCAGGCTATGAGAGCTGTCTGGCGGAAGCATTGTTCCCCCTTGGTCTCGGGGTTTCCTGACCGGGCTGTTGTCCTTCTCACCACTGTTCCATGTGCACACTGCAGGGCTGCCCTACTTGCTCAGAGAAGGTGACCATTGCACATGGCGCTCTGCGTTGGCTCAGTGAACATTTCTTTAAAAAAGAAAAAATTTCCTAGAGTAGAATGATGGTTTCCAGGGTGAAGAGAGTTGTTTAAAGGGCACAGAGTTTCAGTTTTGCAATATGAAAGAGCCCTGGAGATCAGTTGCACAACAATGTAAATGTACTTAACACTAGGGAACTGAACACTCAGAATGGCTAAGATGGCAAATGTTATATTGTGTATTTTTACCACACAAAGAAAACCTTAGGCTTGGTTTGACTTTTAGAAAATTTCCATAGCTCAATCTTCATGGGGGCATTTCAAGGTGTTATGTTAATAATCTGAAATGCAGAAGGGATATTGAAGGGTCTGTGCACTGTACCCATAATAGCATGGGGCTGAAGGGGTTTCTATTCCAGATGTACTTCCAATTGTATTAACTTGGGGGGCAAAGTACTTAACTAAGTCTGAGTTTTCTCATCTGTACTTGGGAATAAGTTACACCTACCTACCTTACCAGGCTACCTTATCTTGCAAGGATTAGAGCTCTTGCCTGTGACTCCCTTGGTAAAGTACGTGTCCCATGTAGGCACATAGAGAACCGTATTGATGCTTAGCCTGCTTAGTCAAGACAAATATGAAAAAAGTGAGGACAGGGAAAAAATGGAAAGATGCTGTCGCCATCTTCAAATCTTTGAAGAAGGAAGTACACTTATTCTGTATTATTCCAGGAGTAAAACAAGCATCAGTGGCCTTAAGTTATAGGGTGGAGATGCTGTTGGCCTAGATTTCTAATGGTCAAATAGACTTCCTTAGAATGCATAGAAGCCCCATCCCCAGAAGGGTTAATGAGAGGCTGAGTGACAATAAGTCCAAGAGTAGTAGAGAAGAAATATTTGATAAGGGGCTGAACTAAATGACTTCACCATTGCCTATAATCTTAATTTCTAAGAATTAAATAAAATTTAAAGATAAAAATCTTCCCATAAATCATCGGTCCCTACCCCGGGAGTCAATGGTGCATCTGTACTAACCCTGACTTCTCTCTTGGCAGGAGGGAGATCGCCTTAGTGATGAAGACTTATTCAAGTTTTTAGCGGACTACAAAAGATCTTCTTCCTTACAGAGAAGAGTCAAGTCCATTCCAGGTGTGGATGGCTTGTCTTTATCCTCGTAAACTGTGCCAAAGCCATTTGTGATTAGACACATTATTTGTCTACTGCTGCAATTTATAAAATTATGTGTACCAAATGAGATGTGGGATTTTACACCAGGACTTGAGTCTGGATTGGTCTACTTTTTTGGAAACTCTATTAATATTTTCTATTCTATTAAATCATTGATTCTTTAAATAAACATACTTTTAGATCTGGTTTCTTAGACAATCAGATCATTGTTGGAATAAAAGAGTCTTTTTCATCTTCTACAATAGTATATGGAACTTTTAGTATACAAAGAAAAATGAAAGTAAGATGCTTTGATAGAAGGCGAGAACATCTTCCTTATCCTCAGCTTAATCGCTTCTGAGGCACTTCTGCAGCACCCTAAAGTACCAGAGATCCCAGTTCGAGAACCACCAGTGTTTACTTAAATATATACTATGATAGTGTGGTAGTTCTGGAAGGGACTTTAAAAATCCTCCAATCTATTTCTACTCATTCTACAATTTCTTGCTTTTTAATTTCTAGAAATAGAATCTCAAGAGTTATCATGACATGCTTTTTCTCCAGCTACAGGAAATTAGCTGGGAATTTCAGAACTCTCACACTCCCACAACTTCTTATTGTCATAAAAGAAATATGCTACAACAATTTTTCTCGATTCCTCTTAACATGACAGTATCTTTCTTAAAACACTCGTTTTCTTTCTTTAGGCTTGCTCAGACTGGAGATTTCTCAGGCTCCAGAGATAATCAATTGTTGTCTGACTCCTGAACTACTGCCAGTGAAACCCTTTTCTGAAAACCGGACACGTCCACACAAAGAGATTTTGGAATTTCCAATCCGGGAAGTGTATGTCCCTCATACTGTGTACAGGTGAGAAACAAAGGCTCTTGGCAAACCATTGAGCCCACATTTACAGTTTTGTTTGAACAATGCCTTCATCGTCCTTTGATCTACCTTCCTAGTTACTAAGTTTTGGAAAAAATGAAATATGTTTACAAAACTATAGATAATTGCTAGATCATGTTCTAAAAATTATTATCTAATTTTTTCAGTCATAATTGTAGTGGGCATATTCTTTCCAGAAATGAAAAATTCCTCACCATCATTACCTTGGTTTTCCTATGTGCAGAAGGATGTAGTAGGGAAAGAGCAATGTGACCAAAAAATGTTCTCAGTGTTTACTAGACAGGTTTTTACCTTGAAACCAGCTCTGTCCCATGGAATTTACGGCAATGACAAATGTTCTACATGTGTGCTGCCCAGTACAATCGCTACTAACCACATGTGGCTATTCAGCATTTGAAATGTGGCTAGGGCAGTGGACGAACTGAAATTTTCATTTTATTTAACTTTAATTAATTTGAATTTAAATTTGTAGCTGTAAGTGGTTGGTGGCCACCATATTGAACAGCATGGAGCTAGACAGTAGGGCTGCCTGGGTTTCTTGGAGGCTTGACTCGGGACTGGGCGGGAACTTGTCAACACACATTTGCCAAAGCCATTGCTGTTCACATTTTTAGTTTTTATTTTGAGAAGATGTTTTTAATGCGGAGAAGAATGCTGTAACAAGCACCTTTTCTCCACCATCTGGAAATGACATTGTGAGTGTGTGTGTGTGTGTGAAATCATACCGATTAAGTTGAAGTCTCCTCTAGTCACAGACTTCTACCTTGCTGCCCAAGCATCAATGATGAACTTATGTGTGTCTTTTCTTCCATTCTCTCCTGTTTCACACACATGTGTATGTGTGTGCGTGTGTACACACATATATATGTATGTATCTGTGAACAACAAGTAGTAGTATTTTTACATTCATTTTAAATGTCCATAAGTGGCTGCACACTCTATGTATTATACTGTACTTTTCATCCAACAGTATGATTTTTTTCTTTTTTGTTTAACTATTACTGTGGATTTTATTGATTCAGTGTGTTACACTCAAAGGATATTTTAATTAATTAGATTTTCACAAATTTAATGAAGGAGAATTACTTCACAGCTTGTATTTTAGAAATATTAATATTGATTTACATAGCACTTTGTCATCATTTTTAACTGCTGTATAGTATTCCTTTGTATAAAGAGGGATTATTTTTCCATTTCTTTTTTTTTAATTAATAGACATTTATGTTTTTTTCCAATTTGGGGTTCTTACACTGTGCAATGAGAAGTTTGTCTGGGTCTCTCTGTGCACATGTGTGAATGTTTTCCTAAGGAATATGCCTAAAAGTGAAATCACTGGGTCACAAGTGATATACATTTTAAGTTCTATCTATACTGCCACTTTTTTCCCCCAAAATTGTACCAGTTTGCAATCCTTTCCATAGAGTAAGAGAATTCTGATTCCCCCAGACCCTCACCTATACTGTCCAATATGACATGTGTATGTGGGACTGAATTCCAAGAACTTCAGAACTCACCTAACCCAAACACACCCACCCCGCATTTCCAGATGTACAAAAGTGAGACCCAGACAGGATAAATGAGCCTCAAAAACTACAGTGAAAAAAATCAAGCAACCATCCACACAATTAGAAATGGGCCTCTTCCTTTTCATGTTGGTGTGGTACACATGTCTTTCCCCATTTAATCCTTTCTGAAGCAGCTCTTCGTTTTCTAACTTCATTCCTTCCATATAAACTCAACCCAAGTCCCCCTCCTAGATAAATAAGCATTCCTAAGATGAAGTAGTTTCAGTTCTCCGTTCTGTTTAGGGAAATGAAGGCATGAAAATGTTTGCTTATGGATGTCGTGTTTGTATCTTTAGAAACCCTATCCTATGATTGGAAAAAAATGATTGTGGAATTGAAATAAACTTGCACCAAATGAATTCTATAGTTATTCAACTTCCCCTCAGCATTTAATTACCCATGGGAAGCACTTACAACTCTCTGTATTCCCTGCTGCAAACATTACCCTTAATTACATCACAGCGGGACTCAGAATGCATTAGTGTGCTGATGACTCAGAAATGTAGGCGTGCGAAGGAGAACAAGTCTGGAGGACTACTATGGACCCAACTTGGCTTCATGAGAAACGGACCCTGAGTGCAAAGTGAATATTCTTTAAGCTGTTCTATACACTATGGAAATGCAAGGCCACGCCATTAAAACCAGGTCGCTACCCTTGGGAATGATAGAAGAAAACACTTCCCTCCATTTTGCTCATAGTGCCTTTTCTTGGCTCCCAGCCCACCACTGTTTATACCTTGTTTAAGAAACAAGAGATGTAATAAACTTGGTTAAGAATTTTACTACGTGAAAACATCAAGGAATTTAGAGATCATCTTGTCTGATCTCCCGGGCTGCTGTTAAATTGTTAATAGTTCTTCTCCAGTCCTCACATGCTTTATAGTGGTTTTGTTTAGTTTGGTCTTGACAGTAACCAGTCCTGGACTAATTCTCCCCTTTTCTACACTTCCACTGCCATTTCACAAAATGGAATGGAAGACTCAAGTCGGGACTGAACGCCAGGTCAAATTGGTGGGGTGACTGATTTTGCCGTTGGTGACCTAATTTTCTCATTTCTGTCATTTATCCCTTCTTTTTGTTTCTTGTCATCTCCCTGTACCTCAAAAAACGTAGAACCTCATAGCTTTTCTACCCCCTCCTGCCTGAAAATCAAAGTCTGTATTCAAGCAAAGGTCTCCTAATTTATGTACATTATGGTATCAGTAAGAAGTATGGCCTAATGTCTTATCTCTCCCAAGACTATTTTTTCAGTAGAGACAACAGTTCCTATTTCAGTTAAAAAAGTTTTCTCTCAACTTAGTTGAATCCTGGATATCTTTCTAAGAATTTGTTAAATAGGGTAACTTTCCATGTTGACATTGCTATTCCCATGACTAATCCTGGTTACAGCTATGTCCCTTTAAGAAAATGAAACAAAAATTAAGATTTACAGAGCAGATAAATTCAGGGATAATTCTTTATAGAGGATTCTCCTAATGAATATAAACTATGATCTGACATAAAAATTTTGATCTATCCAGAACTTACGAAGAATATGTCTGTTAGTGCCCTAGCCAGATTTGGCTCAGTGGATAGAGTGTTGGCCTGCGGGCTAAAGGGTCTCAGGTTCAGTTCCTCTCAGGGCACATGCCCAGATTGCAGGCTTGATCTCCAGTAGGGGGCGTGCAGTAGGCAGCTGATCAATGATTCTTTCTCATCATGTTTCTATCTCTCTCTCCCTTCCTCTCTGAAATCAATAAAAATATTTTTAATATATATTTATTTTTAAAAAGAATATATCTATTGGGCGAAGGATTCAAATTTCAAATTTGTGTCCTTTTAACATAAATGGCAGAGCTCCCTTGGGTGGAGGGAACTATTACAGGTTCTAATGGCGGATGTTGTCTGGCCTTGAGTGTGAGTGGTGGCTAGAGTCACACATTACAGGATTCTAATATGGGTGAAGTTTCCATTGAACACCAATTGAATAGAACTCAGGTTACTCATATCTCTCTTAAAGGAGCAGCTGCCATGGAACTTTACATAAAACTGGCTTAGGCCTAACCGGTTTGGCTCAGTGGATAGAGCGTCGGCCTGCAGACTGAAGGGTCCCAGGTTCGATTCCGGTCAGGGGCATGTACTTGGTTGTGGGCACATCCCCAGTAGGGGGTGTGCAGGAGGCAGCTGATCGATGTTTCTCTCTCATCGATGTTTCTAACTCTCTGTCCCTCTCCTTTCCTCTCTGTAAAAAAATCAATAAAAAATATATTTAAAAAAAAACTGGCTTAGGATAGCCTGAAGTTGCCTTCCGGCCCTCAGTCTCCCCATTCTCCTACCTCTTCAGGTACCTCCTCTGATTGCCCTCCCCCTTCTGGTGCACTCAGTCAGGGTCACTGTGTTGTACCACAGAGGGCACCATTCATATCGTATTCTCTGTGGATGCTGTCCCTAGTGCCTCCACCTTATTCTTATTGCTTAAAGGAACAGTCATAGGAGAACTATGCTGGTCTCGGAAACATCCCATGAGCCCGCCAGGGTTGCTCACTGATAAAATGAACACCTTCTCTAAGGAGAGAGGTGAACTTCTAGAGCCAGAGTGCTGATCCCAGGAATAGCCAGCGTCTCCTAGACCAGTGCCATGTGCCACCTCTATGGGTTAGAGGTATGGAGCCCAACAAGTGTTCCCTGAAACAGACTCAGGCAAGATCTTTTGCAAAATCACAGAGGACAGCCATTCTGAAAGTGGAGAACAGCTGAAAAAATTGGGTTGATAAATAGGATTACCCAAATCTGAATTTAGCATTCTTTCTTCACACCCAGATTAAGAAAACACTACTTCTTAGCCCAGAAACACATTTGGACCAACTCCTGGCTTATTTTCCATGTGGCCCAGCAGCTGGTAATAGAGACGCCAGCTGCCTTCTGGTGGGAGCGAAATGAAAACAGCACGGGCTGGGGCCAAGGCCTAGTGCGACCTTGAAGGGTATTTTATCCTGTGGCCACGGGGGCATGTACAGAGATCACAGGCGCTGAAGTTGTAATGAGCTTGTTAAGCTCCTTGCCATCCCTTTAACTGGTGATTACATTAGGGAAGTCACATAAAGTGCGTTTTCATTTCTCATCCCGGCCCCCGAGAGCCTCTGAGGTCATTTTATCCAATTATCAGGCTGCTGCGGAGGACTGTGCTGGCCGAGAACAAGCCTATCAGTTAGAACACGATTTCTTTGATGGGTAATTAGCTGTTTCCAGGCCTCCTCCTATTCAGCCGAATGTTCTGCGACCAGAAGCCTACATTCCCAAAGCTTGCCTGATAACTGGTCTGAAAGGGAGGTGTCTCCATGTCACAGTGGAGTTTTGAGGAATACTACCAGCCTTGTACCCCATAGGGCCAAAAGGAATGGCGTGGGATAATTATGCAAG